TTTTCGGGATTCAGGGTTTTCGGGATTCCGGGTGCACACGCTCAAAGAGGCCGCGGTATCCGCAGATGAGACTTCTCGAAGAGATCATCATCGGTGAGATGATCTCGACGATACTCAGTATCCTCAGAGACCTGTTCAGCGTATCGTTATGACTCGAATAAATTCCACCACCGAACACGGATCTCCCGGGCGATACATGAGTTTCGAAAGCTCAGACGAGCTCGGCTCCTCAACGTGAATTTTCGGAATCATCGACCTCGATCTGATGCGCCAACAGAGAATCTCGGGAGTTAGCGGTCGGAGAAATTCCCTAAGCACCGAATGTTTTGATGTAAACTGGCAGGGAAAGCTTCGCGGGAACGAAAACAATACAACTCTCCCTCCAAGGTCGAGTTTCGCATATCGGGTTTCAAGATGTCACTTCTCCATCGAACGCTCCATGCAACAATAGCTTCCACTGTTTCTCTTTTCTCTTCGCGAACCCTCTTCCCCCCTCCTAACAACAGAACGAATCCTTTCATGGTCTTCCATCGCATCTGTGACGTGTTAGCAGAGGAGAGGAAACATTCGCTGCCCATCAAATACACGCAGATGTACAAACGGCTAGTTCACACGCTCTTTGTCCAGGCTCCTCGTTCTGTCTCCACACGAATCGGCGACCCGAATAGAAACCCACCAGACTACGCCATCCGGGAGCCGAGACGAGCTCAAAGAGAGGAGGTATTTCACCTTAAAGCGCTCATAATGTGGAGACGTCTCTCTGAACCGGTGTTCCTAGCGATCGCTGATGTGGTCTGCGTCCGTGCGCTATCATGGAATTCAGTCGAGAAGACAAATGCAGCTCATCCGTCGCCAAAGAAGAGAGTAACACAAAGACATGGACAGCGATAGCATGAACAGATGATATATAACCGTTCTGTTGTTCGCAGGAAAAATGCTCGCAAGCAGATACATCTCTACCGCGGCGAGGCTGGACCGAGGAAAAATGCCCGGCCGCGCAAGACAAACGCTGGAGTGACAAGGCGACTAGATTCTGTGGTCGATGAAGGAGGCAACAGTCATCAATGCCGATGACTCCCTTGAGATGCGGGGATTAGTGCTGAAAGACGCGTGCTACGGCGATGAGTACAACGCTGATAATAATTAGACTGCGTGAGAGAGAGAGAGAGAAAATGTATAATTTGAATATATAGCAGAATTTTCACGCGCGGGTCCTTCCTCTTGAGCGACGGCCGCTCGTTGGCAGCGTCAACTCGAGGATTTTGTTTTTAAAAGAAAACCACACGTTGTAATTCACTCTCCACCGCTGAGAATGCCAATCACCTGCGACGTGTCCACTACGTGAGCCATACGGGACGAGGCTATGCATCGGTCTCTCATTACTTGACGGGCGAGTGCGACAGGAAAAGCCTCGGAGGGACATGCTACCTCGAAATTGCAGGTGACATCGGACAGCAACGCTTTTCCGATGATTACGTAAGTCCTTATGAAAAAGGCTCTCTTTCCCTCGACCGCTCCATCAAAAGGGGACCTGACCCTGTGCTTCAGAGCCTGTACCGCTAAAAGCATGATCGAGTCCATGTTTCCGCTCTCAGAACCCGAAGCCTCCTACGGCTCCTTCCGATCAGCGTTTGATGATTTGAATGTCGCCAGATCGACGACGTTGATTGTGCACGACCTCGGCATTCGCAAAAAGGCCGTTCGCCCGAGTGCGTCTGGATTGGGTTTGTAATGTTTCTCAACGACCGCGACATCTTCCCCGCAAGATTACAAGTCAATGATACCGCTGTCGCCGACGGTTTTTCTGAGAACGAGGCACGAGGTTCCCCATTACGGGGCATACGTTTTCTCATCCGGATGGAGGTATTGTATTCCTTACGGTCGTCATTCTGAGTCTTGTCCCTCCGTCCCGAGTTTGCTTCCGACGAACATTGTTCTTCCGCGCGGTGAACCCGACACCTTTCACGCCTGCGTTCATCTCATACCGGGAGCTAATGCCATTCCGCGCACCGCTGTAGTCGGTCTGGCCATTTGGCATCCCTCCAGGAG